CGCACCTCCACGCTCACCACGGCCTGGGCGCTGAGCGGCGGGGATCCGCCGTCGGTGGCGCGCACGGCCACTTGGAAGGTGCGCACCTCCTCGTAGTCCAGTGGGCGCAGCATCCGAATGGTCCCGCTCTCCGTGTCCACCGACACGAAGGAGGGCGCCCCGGGCGCGGGCGGCACCAGCGCGTAGGTCACGTGGGCGTTTTTCCCTTCGTCGGCGTCCGTCGCGCTCACTCGGCCTAGGCTGGTCCCCGCGGGCTCGTTTTCTGGCAGCACCAGGGTGTAGGAGGCCTGGGTGAAGGCGGGCGCATTGTCATTCACGTCCGAGAGACGCACAAGTAGCGGCTGCTCCGCGGAGAGCGCTGGAATCCCGGCGTCGCGGGCGCGCACGGTAACGTTGTACTGAGCCTCCCGCTCCCGGTCCAGCGCATCTGCCGTCACTAGCGCGTACGAGTCTACTCCAAGCGCCGCGATGCTGAAAGGTTGTTCGCCCAGCAACTCGCAGCTCGTCCTGCCGTTTTCCCCCGAGTCCCGGTCCCGCACACTGAACAGGGCGACCACCGTCTGCGGTGGCGCTGATTCCGAGAGGGGGCTGGAGAGGGAGGTGAGCACCACCTCGGGGGCGTTGTCGTTCACGTCGAGGACCTCCACCAGAACCTTGCAATGTGCAGACAGCCCCCCTCCATCCGTGGCCTGGACGTCTATCTCATAAGTCTTTGTTTCTTCATAATCTACTGTCTTTTTGAGTCGAATCTCCCCTGTTTTGGGGTTTATTTTGAAAGTCTGATGATTCTCCTCCGAATTTTGAACAATGGAATACTCTATTTCCCCATTCATTCCTGTGTCTAAATCGCTAGCAGACACCGCCATCACTAACGTCTCCTCAGCGCTATTTTCAGGCATGCGAACTTTATACAGACTCCTGGTGAACACCGGGATGTTGTCGTTTACATCCAGAACTTGCACGCGAATCAAGGCGGTACCAGAACGCGGCGGAGACCCACCGTCCACAGCCGTGATGCTGAAAATTACTTCTGCCCGCTCCTCCCTGTCCAAGGCTTGGTCCAGTACCAGCTCGGCATAGCGCCTGCCATCACTCCGCCTCCGTGTGGAGATATGGAAATAGTCGTTCGGGCTGATGTTGTAATGCTGGAGACTGTTGTTGCTCACATCTAGATCCTGAGCACTTTCCAGCAAAAAACGAGCTCCCGGCATCGCAGTTTCCGGGATCTTTAAAATCATTTCCTTATTTAAGAACACAGGAGCATGATCGTTTATATCGGTGACGCTTACCTCGGCTCGGAAGGACTGCAGTGGGCTCTCTAGCAGCACCTCGAATCGCACCAAGCAAGGCTCACTCTGCCCGCACAGCGTCTCTCGATCGATCTTTTCCTGCACCAACAAATCCCCAGTGTGCTGGTTCAGCTGTAAATATCGCTCATCTCCTTCAGGTATGAGCCGAGCCTGCCGAGCCGATAATTCCTCGCCCGTGAGTCCCAAATCCGTCAGCATATTCGCCACAAAGAAGCCTCTCTCCGCCTCTTCAGGCACAGAGTACCGGACGGTTTCTGTGCTCACCCCGATGGACACACAGAGTAGCAGGATCAGAGGCACCATTTGCCTAGAGAGTGGTTCCTCGCTCTTTCTCAGCTCCATTTTTTTTTTCCTTTCCAAAGCGCTCTCCTCCCTCTGCGAGCTGGGCAGGAGCTATCGATGCTTCTCCGGCGATCCGGCAAGGCAGAGAGCTCAGCGTGACTCCCCCGCCCCGAGCAGAGCAGTCGTGGAGGGAGCAACCCCGCGAACCGCCTTATCTGGCCGAGCTGCGCGGAGGCGGCGGCGACCGGGATCTGCGCGACGCCTTCGCGGTCAGCAGCGGCACCCGGCGGCTGACGTGCCGAAGGACGTGGATATTTTCTGAGTGCAAAGCTGAGAAACAGACCGCTTCCTCCATTCCAAGTTCAGAGAGCATAGATTCAACTGTTTACACACCCATTTAACGTTTGAACATCAACTGATGAGTATTAAACTTCATAACTACAAGAGTCTCACTTAATTAATTTCAGTGATATGAAACGGACTCCCGCCCAAACTTCTTCCCCACCAAAAAAAAAATCTCCGGAAACCCCTGGACTCTATTTTATTTTATTTTATTTTATTTTATTTTATTTTATTTTATTTTATTTTATATAGCCACGGAGCGCCCTGCTGCTGGGCTGAGAACGAGCCCTTAGACTTCGCTGCTTTGACATTGCGCTGGTGGGCTGGAAACTTGGCTGCAGCGACCAGCAGCAAACACGGACTCAAACAGAACACTGGCCCGGGGGAGTTCCAGCAAGTAGGTATTATTGTTTGCTTGTTTTCGTTAGTCATTTGACTCTTAAAAACGTGGGAGCAACGGGAAATTTCACATGACTTCATATTTCAGTGTCGAGTAATGAAAGCAAAAGAAGACAAAAGTTTTTGGATTCACTGGATGGCAGAGTGCCTTGTCTTTATTATAAAAGTCTTAAACTATTTTACTGCAAAATCACCACTACTACTTTATTTCTCTGCTACTACTTCATACTCAGCTATCCAGAATTACCCCGTAAGAGCTCAATTTTATATTGTGGGAAAAAATCGTCAACAGTCACTTTTAATAGGACAGAGAATCTGTAAACTTTTGATCTAATAAGCAAAGTATGTTACAGTCACCCATCTATATTGTAACCAACTCCTCTTTGTTATTAAATAGCTTCTTTGCCCACCTCATGTTTTTAATAAGTATTCGGTACGACATTGAGCAAACTGTCGAAAGTTAAGATATTATTACAGACCATCTCCAAAGGGAAATAAAAACACATAAAATAGGATGAAGGGAAAATTACTCTTGAAGATCTGCTTCTGCTCTTCGTATTTCCTTTAATATTCAGAAGCAGCAGCACTCTCAACATTATGCATCGAGATTCGGTGTAATCAACATGCAATACGATCCCACAGTCCACTTTCATTCACATCATGGTTGCAAAACACTTACGTGAACAACCATTACATAAAAGAAAAGTGTCCTTGCTCTCTCACAGAGCATACCTGTGCCTTTTTATTTATTTATTTATCTCTCCATTCTCATTTCTCTGTGAGGACATTAACAGGTGAGGACAGACAGGCTTGTCCTTGTCCTCATCTACTGGTGGACAAGCCAAGGGGTTTGATCTGGAATGTCATTCGCCCTTATCACCTTGTTATCAGCACAACTCGCTTCCACAGACCTGGGACCCGTGTCTTCAGAGAGGGAAGCTCTGCCCTGCAAAGAACAGAATGGAGGGCTGTCATTTGAAAGCTGAGAGTAAGCAGATGTCAGCGAGAAGTGCACTGTTTTCCAGACATACCTTATAGCCCTGGTCCTCTCCCCTACACAGAGACAGAGGGGAAGGTGGGCAGCAGAGTCTCTTTGATCCTAGCAGAGCAAAGCCTGAGTACATCCTTCCCGTTAAGGACACTCCAAGAGCACAATGTAAAACAATGAGTGGGGGAGAAACAATATAATGGGAAAATCCGAAAATAAAATCATTTTGATACACAAATAAAATGTATTTTAATGTTGACCTGTTGGGGTGAGTCATCCTTTTCCTCTGAGCCCATTGTAACTACAGTTATGAGAATATGCAGTGATGTATGTGGAAGATTTCCCTGCCTCAGTGGTTATTAAGCAGGAGATGCTATGAGCTGACCATGAGGGAGGGCTTTCAACTGTGTAAATGCCACAAATACTGAGCTATGGAGCCCAGAGGGATGAGAAATGTTGCAAAAGAGAGAGATCTCATCTGACATCTGCTAGTTTCCTCTGTGCCATTCCAAAACTCTTTGTTCCCTTGAAGCAGCTATATCTTAGGCCCACAGCAGCTGTTGGCTGGTCAATATTGGCTATGCAAGGGCCATCCATCAAGTTGGATGTGGGGTACTTTCTTGTGAAGGAAACACTATCCTACAGATAGGAAAGCAAAATGAGATACATTGGCCAAAGGAAATTAATTTTCCCTATTAATAATCTGCTTTAAGCAAAACTCATTTTTTCCTTTTACTTTTCTTTTTCCTTTTTCTTTTTCCATTTCCCTTTCTTTTTTCTTAATTTCCGTTGTCTTTTCCTTTTCTTTTCCTTTTCTTTCTCTCTCTATTTTCTTTTTTCTTTTTTGTTTTTTACAAAGGAATTTTATGACCACTGTTATTTACTTCATTCAGTACTTACTCTACATATAAACACTTGATGGCAGCATAAGGGAAATGCTGTCTTAAATGGTTTAAATGTACTTCCAAAATGCAAACCTACAATTCAATGAACCATCAAGAAATCCCACAATTAGATTTCTTAAAGTAGATGCTAGGATTAAAACGATTTTTTTTTTCTTAAAGCCTCTGATATCAGCTGAAGGATCTGACCTTTTCTTTAAGATACTGGATATTTTTAGACTGCTTTCTTGACCTCACAGGTTGCAGAATGTTTTGGTGATTAAAAACAAAAACAAACAAACAAACAAAAACAAAAAAACGCCGAGTTCTTCACTTTAAAATGTTTGGGGTCCCTGCAGAGGGACATTACAATTTCCTTTAATCTTTTAAAACTCTTCTCCACAACACTGGAATCTCACTCATCTCGGCTCTCATATTCACAGCAGATGCCACAGAAGGCTGACCTAGGCTGTGTTGTTCCTTGACTTCCCTCAGCATCTCTCCAGCGCATCGTATCGTAGTACCTGGAGTGCTGCTTATTCACTCTGAACACTGCCCCATCCTCTTTGAAGCAGTGTCATTTCTCCCCTCGATCACTACGGGCTTTTCACAGAGCATGGGCACATCCTCCCCGCCTCCCCTCCATCTCCTGCTTCATCCGCCTTTGTCTCACACAGCCATCCTGAGGGTTTTTGTCTTCTCTGCCTTCTCACCTGTCCCCCTTGGGTTGCACTTGAGACTATGCCTAATCAGAGGATCTACTAGGCACCTGCAGTGGCATCTTGAGCCGAGTCACTTGTTTCTACTTCAGGTCCTGAGAGCAAAGGTCTTGAGGAAGATGTTTTCCATTTACATCCCGCTTTACACTCCGATTGAAAGGATGCAGAAAATTGCAGTTAGCCAGCCCTTGGAGTGCAGCTGGGCAGTGCTAGATCCCCACGGGAAGTCCCCATCAGTGCCTGTGAGAGCATCTCTAGCTGGTCCTCCCTCTCCAGTGGTTGCAGCAGCATCACCTCCGCCAGATCGCTAGTTCCCTCTGTCCCTCATCTGCTCCAAAGGGTGACCCTCCCTCCTCTCTTCCCCCACCCCTCCTTCACGTTGCTCCATCCTCCCTCCTTCCTGTCCACTCCGGCCAGCGCATGTCCCTCACCTGTGCTGCCCAGTCGCCTTCTTCCCCAGGGTTGGCCACGTCTTGCGAACACACCGAGCTCCGCTGGTCTCCCGGGCCAGGGGGCAGCCCAGCGGGAAAACAGGGAAAGA